TTAGTAAATAATATTTTTTTATTATTTATAATGAAAATAAAGTACACAAAAAATATTTAAGGAAATACACACCTTCAAATCCCTATGAGTTATACCACAATCATGAAGATAACTAACAGCTAATACAACTTGATAAAAGATTAATTTTGCATGTTTTTCTAACAATCGTCCTCTACTCTTTATCCTTTCAAAGAGTTCACCACCTTCCATTAATTCTAAAACTATGTATACAGCTTTTGGCGTATCTACAATTTCTTCCATTCGAATTATACAAGGCTAAAAGACATAATGCATATTAATATATTATGCAATTTTGATAACATATATATTAACGTACATGCTTCAGGGCTTTTAATATTTTAACTTCATTCATAATTTTTTCAGGATCATTTAACGGGTGCTTTTGTCCATTTGTTGTACTACCTATTTTCATAATAGTTTTCATAGCAAATTTTTTACAACCAACTTTAGTAAAAACCATTTTCACTTCACCACAAGCTCCAGATCCTAATTTACGTGATACTGCATATTTATTTTTGAGTTTTGGAGGTAAATCATTGCTTTCAAATGCTGTTGTGCTCATAAATATATAAACTGTTAAAAGCAGAAAGAAAAATACACATAATTATAAAATATATTATATATAATTTTTTACTTGCAACATGAGGCTGTACTAAGGATATTACATCATTACTTTCAAGTACTACTTTATTTCCACGGCCAACTTTTTTTTTATTAACAAAAGTTCCATTTTGACTTAAATCCTCTAAATATACGACAGCATCATTAGTATTGCCATCAATAAATTCTCTGGTTATTTTGAAATGTAATTTACTCATTACACTAAGCCACTTTGGTTTCAATTCATTTTTAGTTACACGAATGTCACAATTTTCTAAACGACCAAGTGTATAAATATTTTTGGTCATTCCTATAAAAACATTTGATTTGTTTGCATAATTATTTGCACTTAATATCGATCATAAATGAATAAATTGTATTCTATAATTAAAATTATGA